TCAATGAAATTTACATAGCTCTTCGAGATACAATAAGGTCTTGCAATAGGTTTTTTTTCAATTATAACTATTTAAAAGAAACAAAAACTTTATGAATTTTGACCAAACTAGCATTCTTATGAAAGACGTCCGCAAACAATACAATTTTTCCTTCGTCCAATACCAAGTTTATGGCGAAACAAGATTTTTTACTTCAGATGATTTTGAAAGAAGTACTGTTGTCAACGCGGAAGCCCTTTCCGAAGGACTGCCGGAAATGACGCTTATTTTCGAGTTTTGAATATCAGCAATACGGAACTGAACGAAGTACAGTGCTTTGGACAATAATCTATACCGAAATTCGTGAAGATATTTTTTCAAATAAAAAAGTTTTTCATAAAAGAACTACTAGCTTGTATGACAGCCACATTTTATTGTATTTTGTTTGATGTAAAATTTTGTCTAACTCTATGGCTAATGTGTTCTGATATAACTGGATTTTTTAATGTCTCAGAACTAAGCTAGGCATATAAAGTTTGTTGGAACATTTTACACAAAGACGTTCGTTCGATACAAAATATTTTATTGATGTGAACATAAACCGTACTTAGTATGTAAAAATAACAATAGTAAAAAATAACAGGTGTAATACATAAGAAAGTAAATTATATACATATACATGGTATTTAGTTTGCTCTTTCACTGATGTCAACTATACCTAACAAAGTTTGTATTGAGATTTTGCCAACTCTTTCGTAAACATTGCAGATCTCGTTTCCATAAGTCATTTTCAGATTTCCAATGTAACAAATACTATTACTACTAAACAATAAAAAACGTTAACTTCGGTTGCACCGAAGATATAATACCCTTCACAAATCCAAATATTTCTCTCAAGAACTTGATTCCGATTGTTTAATTTGTATGACAGCTATAAGATATATTGATCTGATCTGAACAATTTCTTCATAGAATACATTGTTGCCTTCAACAATTACTCGTGCCAAATTTCGTGAAGCTATTACGTAAAGTTAAAAATTTGGTATGGCAGCTATATGCTATAGTGGTCTAATATCAGCCGTTCCGACAAATGAGCAGCTTCTTAGTGAGAAAAGAACAGGTGCAACATTTTAGATCGACATCTTAAAAACTGAGGGACTAGTTTGTATATATATAGACGGATGGACAGACGGACATGGCTAAATCAACTCAGCTCATCATGCTCATAATTTATGTATATATTTTCTAGGGTCTCAGACGTTTTATTCTGAGTGTTACAGACTTCATGGCAAACCTAATATACCCTGTTTAGGGTATAAAAAGGAAACCAAAAATCAAACAACTTAATTTTTTTGTAAACGACATTTTAATTGCACGCATATTTCATGATCTATTCTTTTGCGAGCAAATACTGTCAATCAAATTACACTATTATTGAAATAAATAAATTCATTAGACGCCACCGTTTCTAGTTTTGAATGTACAATTGATTCACATTGCAAATGTTATATTATTGCGTACAAATATTATATATAAATATGTTTTTATATTTACATATTTTTTTCAATATAAACCTTTGCACCTCGTAATTGGTTCTCATCGACTGTAAGTCATTTAAACGAGATGAGTTGGTAATTCCGTTAAAAAAAAGACAATTGTTATTCTAAGAGCGTGCCGATAGTGTTAAGTTTGACTATAATTCATTTAAAAATTTGAGAGCGCGAACTAGGTAACAAGTCTTGTTATACCCTGAACAAGGTATAGGCACTAGTTATTGCTTATATAGCTGCCACACAAATTGCACGATCCGAATCAAGTTCTTGTAAGAAACATTCGATTTTGTGAAGGGTATTACAGCTTCGGTACAACCGAAGTTAACACTTTTTTCTTGTTGACTTTAAGCTTAGCGCATATTAAAGTGCGAAATTTAGCACAATTGTACTTAAGGTCACAATACTGTATTTTTATACTTTGACCAGGGTATATTAAATCTGTCACGAAATATGTAACACTCAGAAGAAAAAATCGGAGACCCTATAAAGTATATGTGTATATACATAAATGATCAACATGACGAACTGAGTGGATATAGACGTGAAAGTCTGCTTATTTTTGAGATATCGTTCTGAAATTTTATATGTGTCCTTTTCTCTCCAATAAGCTACTCATTTGTTGGCGGCCATACAAACTGATCGAACAAAATTATTTGTTGTATGGAAATCTTTTTTGTTTGACAAGATATCTTCACGAAATTTCGCATAAACTATTGTCCAGGACAGCGTTACAATCATAAGCGCATATTAAATAGCTGTTTTTTTTTTTGTCATATGCATTAATTATGCTTTTCTCTAAGTTTTCTTTTATTTCGGTATCCAATACACTGTACGCATAACCTTAGACTAGTTTGCCGGAATTCTGCGGATTTTATAAATAAATTTTAGAATTAGCGTAGCTATTCAAATTAAACCGTAATGTATACTATATAAACACATTTTAAAAAATTATTAAAAAGTATTGCCAATCTTTGTTGAATTTTTCGAGTATAAGGTTTTCATTATACTGCCTTCATTTAGCTAAGTTACTGAATTAATTTATAGTATATCCATCGTCACTTTCACTAACAAATATTAGCCATAACTGTGTAAATGAAATATACACTGTATATTATTTACTGAAATAGGTATTTTTGCTTAGTGATAAATTGAATTAGTTGCGCAAGCCCAAGGTTGTTTTATGCAAAATCGTTAAATATTTGTGTATTTAAATTTTTGTTACACCATACCATACACTATGGGCTTAGAATTATATTCTCTTCATACCTGAACATCTGGGGTTTCCTGAAATTGACCTTTAACTATTTAGCTTTCACGGTTAGGTGTCAATTTGCAAAACTAGGAATGCTCAACTTTTTACTGCAGTAATACCATTAAGCTTAGGCTAGGAGCATATATTTATATACAACAATACACACGCAAAATAAACTTGTTAAGCGAAAATGTGGAAAATCGGAGTTAATAATAGTTTCTTAGTCACTCGCATTCTAACTAGCCGATTCGTATATATACATAGTGTGTAAAAACTTTTAGTGACAGTTCGCGTATAGCGTTAAGGCGCTTAGATTTCTATCTCGTTAAGCGGGAAGTGAAATATAATAGAAGTCAAGACGGACAGGTTCAAATTTTCAAAGTGAGAGTGAGTGTGGAATTTTCGAAAGGAAGTTAAGGATTCCAGACGCTGAATAAACTCCCACAAAGGAACATAAAGTGAAATTGTAAAAACCAAAGGATATATATATGTAAATATATATAATTCCAGAAGAAACAAATTTAACTTAAGATATAAAAAGGACTTTAAAACTAGTTCTAAGATAACATAATCGAATTACGAATATTATTGAATTACTTAAAATAAATTAACAAAAAATAAAATTGTCAAAATGTTACAAGTGAAGCTTTATCAAGTGCTGGTGCTATTCACACTACTTTGCTGCGCAGTTAGCACAGTGAAAAAAGTGGGTCCTAACAGCGACCAATACCAACTAATGCAGCGTTCGTCAATACTTTTCGGCCTGACGGTCATCAGTCGTTCGAATATGGTGAGCCACAACTGCTATACGCAACTCCAGGAAGTACAGAAGGCTATACTAATGCAACAGCCCTGGGCCATGAAGAGTAAGTGCTTCCTTTCATAACCAATGACATAGATTAAGGAATATAATGCTCGACGGAACCATATATAACTGTAGGATAAAAGTTCGTTATTCCTTTTAAAAATTTTCTTTGTCTTACTTTTCATGAGTTTCAGTTTTCAGCAAAAGGTAAATTGAAGTGGCTTTTGTAAAATGGTATCAAGATTAACTCAATACAAGAGAGAAAAATATCCGATCGCCTCGAGAAATTTCAAAATTATGAAGAATTAAGGAAAGATATTATCCTTTTGCTAGTTTTAAGTAACAAAAGTAGTTCAAATCTTTTCACTTCGCAAAATAGGCTTTAATGACAACAATGTGGAATTTTTTGGAACTTAAATATAAATTAAATTTTTAATTCGTTCTTTGATCGGTTAATTATACCAAAATATATGTATTTTTTTAATATCTTTCGCAATATTTGTAGTATCATGGCAGATAGCCAAAAGGAAGGAAGGATAACATGAAGTTTTAGTAAAAATGACTATAGTTTTTTAGTTATGAGGTAGTAAATTTTTTAACTTTTATACAAGCTGGAAACAAAGGATTTGTACTATAGAATTATCGTGGCAGCTTTAAGCCCCAAATATGTAGATATAAATTTTGACTTTTAAGCCCTGCATTGAAGGATTCTCTTTTAGTATTCCCAGCAATTCTAATAATTAGTCGATACTATGGAAGAAGCTACAAGCATATACTAATCATAATAACAACTGCTTCATAAATTCTTACAAGCAATCGTAGAACCGAAACATTACCGCTCGTAAATGTAACTAGTTGTATAATATTTATTAACTTCCTAACTCTCTACCACTCTTTTATGTTCCTCATAGTGTATGATTCGTCCGGATTTAAAGAGCCTGGATTCATAATGGGCAATGGCCTCTGGATAGGCAGTCGTGACACCTGTAATGCTGTAAAAACACCCGTCAATCTTAAATTATCCACACATATACCACATAAAATGAATCCGAAAATAATGACAGATACGGCGCCATTTTCTACGGACTACCGTGTCGTCAATTTGTACCACAATTCCACATGGCAAATGGATCCAGTATATCTGTTCTATGAACCGCGAATAAGTATCGGTCTATGTTTGCCAAGCGCTTGCACAATAGCCGAGATCGGTCAACTAATGGCCACCTACGTCGAGGATGATCTATTTGTGTCGACTGATATTTATGATATGCGAATGCGTGTTGAAAGTGTGAAGGATTTAAAATTACGTGCAGGCTTTTTTACAAGACCTTCGACGATGATTTTTATCGGTTTCTGTTTACTGACATTGCTGCTGACATTTCTAGCTTTGGGGCAACGTATAAAGCGTAATAGCGAAACGGTTGAGGTGGTTGCAAATGGAACGAAGTCAACGAACGATGATTTAAAAACGATGAGTCAAACTAGTACGAAATTTTCTTATAATAGATTTATTGAATGTTTTGATGTTCAGAACAATTGGGAATTACTTTTCCCCTCGGACCCGTCTGCTGCTCTAGCTGACACAAACGCTTTTCCGGCGGTGAATGGTTTACGGTTTTATGGTGCAATGGTCGTGATGTTATTCCATCTACAGTGCTGCAGTTACTTGGAATCAAGTAATAAATCAGTGCATTACAAATTAATGATTGATATTGGAAATTTCGACATTTTCGTGGATTTGTTTTTTACAATATTAGGTAAGAGCGATGAGTGAGTTGTGAGAAAGGTTAGACGACACATTAATACTTTTGAGATGAAGTGCAGTATCAGAACTATACTGGTTACGAATTATTACTTTTTATTCAATTGATTTGTATGTTCTTTATGTCTACTCACTTAATATCCGGGATACAGAATGCACTTGTCACGTTTGTTTCAAGAAAGGCCGCTCTGACAAAATACAGAGTTCAGATATAGGCATTTCGTATCCAAACATTTTTTGCCAAAAATCTTCCTAAACTGTGACAACTTATGTCAAAATTTGTTAATAAATTTAAAATTTTTTTTGAACTTTTTTACAACTATTTATTTGCTTGTTTTTACAGCGGCTTTTTGCAAACATACCACTTTTTCCGAGACACCATAACTATTGAGATCATACGAAATAATAGTGTAATGAAGAATACCAAAAGGGTTTTTATGTACATAATGCACCGTTTAATTAGGCAAGTACCGGAAACTGGCAACACCTAAAAATCTTAAATATGTGAAGTTAGATAGAAATGTTTGCATTTGTTTATGTTTCGTTTTTCGCCTCTATTTCAAACAGATTGGGTCCTTTGTACTACCTTGCTATCTGCTTCGCCGATGCTGGAACGCTTCTGATGGACGATATATCCGTTTTCCACTTTAGCCATCGTATATATGCTAACTGCGAGTTATATTGGTGGCGCAGTGCTCTCTTCATACAAAATTTCTTTAACCACGATGATATGTGCGTGTATTGGACTTGGTCATCAGCTTGTGATATGCAATTTTACATCTTCAGTATAATTCTACTCTTCATCTATGTAAAGTAAGGACACATGCGCGTAATATATAAATACTTTTAATTGCCATATATCTAATTAAAATTCTCTTACAGACACCCCAAAACGGGCAAAGCTCTCACTCTCGCCACTGTAGCAGCAAATTTGGTTTATACCATCTACACCGCCATCACAATGAATTATAAATATTCCTTTGAGACCACATCGGTGCTATTCACGGAGCTCTATATGAATCCGATATCACGTGTCCTGGCCTACGTAATTGGCGGCGTGGCTGGCCTGCTTTTCGTACAAAAACAACAGAAGCAATTCTACGCGCATTTCTTTCAAGAGTTTCTCGCTTATTTGGCGATCATTTGCTTCTTTACTATCAATTTCTTCAGAATATCAGGAGGTTACTCAGTAGGTTTCTATGTGGTATTGTTGATCGTTCAACGAGTGTTATTTTCGTCGAGTGTTTGTTTCCTTATATTCGCAAATGCGGCGGGTAGTGTGAAGTGGTTCTTTGGCATATTGGAGAATCCAATCTTCAAGAAATTCAATCAAATTGCTTATGCTCTGTTCCTGTTAAATCCATTTCCCATTGCGGTGCTAGTTAGCTCGAATAATGCAAGTCGCTATGCCAGTCCATATAATTTAGTAAGTTCGCGTTTGGTTTGTTTTAAATTTTTATCTTTAACATGTATAAATTTCATATATTCTTAGGTAATCGAATACATAGGCATTTGCGCGGTACTATACTTACTCGGTGCAACTTTCGCCTTATTTTTCGAAGTACCCTATAAGAATATATCTAAAATATTGGTCCGCCGCACCAAAACAAAGACGAATTAAGCAAAGTTTACTAGCGCGAACTGAGATGGAACTAAATCTAAGAGTATAAATGCATTTATTGTAACAACTAAGACATTTTATGCAAAAAAAATATGTATACATTCATATTTAAGACAATTTAAAGAAAAATACAACTTAGGTTTACCATAGATTAGAATAGTATGTTTGATTTTATAGGCATATAATTTGGTAGAAGGATAGCTGTCAAACGAGTCATCAAAGAAAACACATGTATTTGACATCTCTATACTGTACTCTTTAGCTTTTCATCTAAAAAAAAAACAAAACTGTGTAATAGCACAAGAACGAAATTATAAACCATGCAAATAAGACCAACAGGGTCTTTGTCAGTTGCAATACATATGGATGATATTAGATGACTAACTACAAGTATTCACTTTTTTGTGAAATGAAATTTTTAAGCTCTTAAAATATACAACGAAACTGCACACAAAGCCTTAATTAGAGAAATGTAAATTAAACATTTTTGACAAGGGTCTGTTTTCAGCTATCATAACATAATTCGCTGATCAGACCCGCCGACTTTAAGGTGGAATATTTTATATCTCTCACACGAATTAACCGATTTCAACCAAAATTTGATACATAGCTGATCCGTGATGAGTTCCTAGCACAGCTCGAAATCTAATAAAATCATACCTCAATGGCATCTTTTTCTCATAAAATACCATTTATAATCCCATGGCTATAATGAACATAGCCAACTCAAGATTCAATAAAAATACCGAAAAAACCTTAGCATATATAATAGGCATGATGGCTACCAACTCTATACCGGAAATGCTGCCGATTGCATTGATATATGTATATATATATAATATAATGTATAGTTTTAGGCTCAGTTTGACTAAAAAGTTACTCAAGAATATAAATCGTTCCGATCCTGTCCGTAGCAATTTTCATTGTTTTCAATATTTCTACTGCTAGAGTAAAACAGTTTGGAGATTATTTTCCAGTATCGGTTGAATAGCCAATGAAGTGGCAGAGTACTAGTTGATTAACTTTATTATTAACTTCTTCTTAAAATAGGAATAGAGTCATTATATTCTAACCGTTCTTTAACTGTCCTTATTTACTTGCTGTTCATTAATTTTGATATCCCTTATATACCAGAATAGAATAATTTCTCTCTTCAATATTTTAAATATCATGATCCTATACAATGCTCATAGGTATTCGCTGAGTGAAGCAGATTACTCCTTTTTTTAAAATCTGTACTGAAATCAAAAGACAAATTATCAGTCATTGCCGAGTATATTCTTCACATTTCTCTTTTCGGCTAACCTTATAAATCTAATTATTAATATATTAAATTGGTTTGCCATGAGCATCTAACACTCAGAATAAACATCTGAGACCCTAGAAAATATATACATAAATTATGAGCATGATGAGCTGGTTGATTTATGCATGTCCGTCTGTCCATCCGTCTGTCTGTATATATACAAACTAGTCCCTCAGTTTTAAGATGTGATCAAATTTGCACCTGTTCTTTTCTAATTTATAGGTATATATATATTTTGTAGAGTCTTTTTAGCAAAGAAGCAGGAGAGCGTGAAAGCCTGCGCAACAAATGCAACAAACAATTTGGCACATTTGGCCGAAAAAGTAACAAATTTATAATTAACTTAATTAGTTAATGCTTTTTAATGGCAACTGCTGGCTGTATTTCTCTGTAAGGTAATGGAGGAGGCGAGTGCGCTGCGCAACGTGTCAAAAACGTGATTAAGCCCATTCAAAGGGCAAGTGAAAGGGCAATTTTAAAGTACACAAATTTGTTTTGCACACCGCATACGCATACCAGAGTGCTGGCAATTAACTTCGTAATGCATGCGCATAAATTAATGGAGGAATATACTTCTATCGCTTTAAATACAGCGGAATAGCGTGATAAGCAAAGCTTACGAAAACACCTCCCTGTCTCCTTGACTCATAACTTATGCTTAAATTTATTTCTGATTTTATTGTTTTTGTGTTAAGCGCTTTGCTATCATTTGAATTTTATGGCTGTTGCTGGTGACAGCTGTAAATTTAATGACAACGCATTTGGCATCACTATTTGCAATAGAACACTATTTGCTTGGAGTCTAGCACAAAGGTTTTGCGAAAAATTTAATCATTTTAAAATTCAGTAACAAATTCAATATATTTTTTTTTTGTAGATTTTTAAGAAATTGCATTAAAAATGCGAGGAATTGACGCTGAGTTAAACTATCTCCACTGCAATATTCTATGCCGAAAATGTGCCTAAACTGTGGAACCATATGTCAAAATTGTTAATAAATAGTAATTTTTTTTTAACCTATTAGCTTTTTTTATATAAATATTTATTTGATTGTTTACAGTGGCTTTTTGGCCAAACATACCACTTTTTCACGAGAGACACCAAAAACTATTGAGCCATACGAAAAAGTAGTGTAATTAAGAACACGAAAAGGTATTTATGTACATTAATGCATCGTTGATTAGTAAGTACGAAGCTGGTATTGACTTGGAACAATCTGAAACTAGTGATCGAAAACATATAAAATATGAAAGAAAACATGGCTAGTTGTTTCGTTTATTTACTCTACTTCAAACAGATTGGGTCCTTTGTATTTCCTTGTTATACTGCTTGGCCGATTTGCTGGATCGCATTTCTGATGACGAAATATATCGGTTTTCCACTTTAGCCATCGTACTATATGCTAAACTGCGAGTTATATTGCGTGGCGCAGTGTCTCTTCATACAAAAATTGTTCAAGCACGACGACATGTGCGTGATATTGGACAGTGGTCATCAGAGCTTGTGATATGCCAATTTTACATTTCAGTTATATTCTACTCTTCATCTAATGTAACAGTAAGGACATGCGAATATATAATACTGTTTTAATTGCCATATATCTAATTAAAATTCTTTTTCAGGACACACCAAAACGGGCAAAGCTCTCACTCTCGCCACTGAGTAGGCAAATTGGTAACTTACATCTTACGCATCACAATGAATTTAAATTTCCTTTGAGGACCAACATCGATGCTATTACACGGAACTTATAGGATCGTTGTCACGTTGTCCTGCCCTACGTCATTGCGGCGTGGCGGCCTGCTTTTCGTATACAACAAGAAAAGCAAACTCTACGACGGAATATTCTTTCAAATCAGTCTTTGCAAGAGTTTCTCGAGATATTTGCGATCATTTTCTTCTTTATTATTAATTCTCCAAACTTAGCAGGAGGTTATCAGGTGGTGGTCTATGGTAATGTTAGTCTCACGAATTATATTTTCGTCGAGTGTTTGTTCCTTATATTCGCAAATGCGGCGGTAGTGTGAAGGGTTCTTGGCATATATGGGGAGGAATCCACTTTCAAGAAATTTCAACTCCAAATCTACTTCATGCTCTGTTCCATGTGTAAATCCATTCCCTATTGTACTGGTTAGCTCGAATAATGCAAATCGCATTACCGTCCATATAAATTTATGACGTTCGAGTATTTGTTTCTTATTAAATTTGTATCTTTAACATGTATAATTCTTGTTTTTAGCATCGATACATAGGCTATTTGCGCGTATAATACTTCCTCAAGCTCAACTTTCGCCTTATTTTCGAAGTACCCTATAAGGACTATTTCACAATGTTGGGCTCACACGCGCACCAACCAAGACGAATTAAGCAAATTTACTAGCGCGAACTGAGATGAACTAAATCTAAGAGTAAAATGCATTTATTGTAAACATTAAGCATCTTATGCACAAAAGATCATATAATAAATATACAATATTTTACGACAGTTAAAAAAAGAAATTTTCGGTTTATCATAGAGTCATTTAATATGTTTGGTTTAAGGAGGCAATTGAAATATAGCAATTACCTGCTCAACGGTCAAAAGTCAAGGTCAAAAATACACATGGTTTTTAATGTCGACTGTACTGTACTCTTTAGCTTTTCTCACAAAAATAAACTGTTTAATTCCACCAGACACGATATTATTAAACTATGCAAGCCAAATAACTATATATTATGAATAAATCTCGTTAACGGAATCTATGCTAAAGTAGGGACTTAAAAAAAAATTTTCAATTAAAAATTCATTTTAGCTCTACAGCTGAACGAATGTAAATATATTTAAGAGTATTTCGAAAAATCTCGATTTGGGTTCTATGGGCAATAGTGTCGGAGTATAGCGTATTGTGAACTTATTTTATTAACTTCGTATAATCGAATCCAAAACTTTAAAGCAGTTGTACCAAAAATTTGTTTTTTCAGTTTGGATAGGAAATTTCTTCGAGCTCAACACTTTTCAAATGATCACTACTTATTATATTACTCTTAATATATCATTTACAAAATTAAATGCCCCTAAAGGGAAAAAATTACAAAAGCATTCTTAAGATCTTAATGAATTTTACCAGCTCTTCTCGAGATACATTTACAAGGTCTTCTGCATAAAGGGTTTTTCGTTTCAATTATACTATATTAAAAAAGAAACCAAAAAACTTGCGAAATTTTTTGACCCAACTAGACTTCTATTGCAAAGACGTCCGCAACATTACAATTTATTTTTTTCCATTCGCTCCAATACCAAAGTTTATGCGACAAGATTTTTTTACTTCAGAAATGATTTTGAAAGAAGTATGTTGCACCGCGGAGATAGCCCTTTTCCGAAGGACTGCCGGAAATGGACGTCGTATTTTTCGAGTTTTGAATATTTTCCTAGGTTTCTATATTTCATCAAATATTGTCAAATACGTACCTTTGGAGATAATAAAATCTTGAATAAATGTTTTATTTGCTTATGATGAACGAAACAAAATGCTTGAAAATAGGAGCATTTTGCTCGAAGAAACCCATGTATGAAAGTTTATTGTCGAACACGGCACGTAACCACTTCATAGCCACATCAAGTTTTAAGCATCTGGAGTCTATAGTGAATATTTTGCTCTTCAACCATAAATGAACTTGTTATTTATATTACTGCCAATTAAAGAGAAGTACCCTGCATATCACCTAATGTTTACACCGATTCTTTTCCCTAAGTTTATTTTCATTAATAAAAATTTTTACATTGGTCATCAAATTATGTCGTTTATTTTGAAACGTTATCAATCAATTGTAAAGTATTTTTGGCCATATTTTTTTCAAAGCTCCCCAACACA